TCTTTTGTCTACTTCATTAGAATATGTGTTGCTGTTGTTGTGACTTATCTCGCTTGTCTGAAATCAGAAAAAGCCAACTAAATTTATCTTGGTAAGGAGTGCAAGATTGTGATTGTCGTTGGCAAAAGCCGTGGGCACCTTACAGGTGACAAAACGACTTTGTTCAGTTATGCCCCCAGTTTTGAAGGAGAGTATCTCGCAGGGGTCTCTCGCTATCTGAGGGTCTCCCACTCCCTCTTTCCCTACTATCAACCTTTCCAGAGGACTTTCGGATCGCAGCATATTTTGAGTGCCCACATAACGCACTATACATTTACAAACATCTATGCTTTCTCCGGTTTCGAACCCGAGCCATTAGATACAGCAGTGAGAGTCGCTGAATACTATCTCAGTTGGGCGGCTGAATATGTAAATGAAGTGAGTTTTAGGTAGTAGAGAAAATCTAACTTTAGGAGATGGCAGCCTTAATCTATCTTGGTTAAGTTAGGTAGGTTAACTGGAACGTGGTAAAGCATACAAAAGCTATGTGCTTAAGGACTTTCTAAGGGAAATTGGCTCGTATTCACATTACACAAGAGGAAAACCAACTCTTTGGTGAAACCTGTTTAATAGTTGTGTGCCTTCAGTACTGCTACTGTAGCCCGTTCCTTTGAAATAGACACTTCATAGTCTTAGCAACCCTCCCCTCATTTGCTGCCGCAACGTGTTCATTCATTGGGGAATTCATCTCATTGCGGGGAGAGACGTAGGGAACCTATCCAAGTTTGCAACTGAGTGAATCTAAATTCAAGTAGTATTTTAAAATATGCGTCGTTAGTTCTTGTTTACTAAAATAAGATTTTGGGACTGTTCAAAATCATACGATATAGACGGTGCCTAGTCTTTTATCGTGGTGGACAGACTATATGCTTTGTTATATTCAGAGGCTTCTACAGACTTAAAATTATTTCAGAGACATCAGAAAATTTTACTCAAAATTTTTTCTATTTTGACACTGTATGGTCCATAAATTTCTCAGTAGTATTTAGTTTCTGTATGTGTACGTAAACTTACCTTTTATAAAATCAATGATGCAATACCACCTTAAGGTCAATAATGTAATACCTTCATAATGTAAATGCTGCAGTGGTACTGGATATTTATGAACTTAGATATTTATGTACAGTGAAAGGTGGTGATGAGTTATTTTAATATTAGTATGGTGTTTGAATGCTATACAATTAAAAAGCTTCAGTACTTGCAACAGATAAAACTCTTTATTACATTTTGTTTTGGTGAATCACTCTCACATTTAAAAGGCCTGTAAAAGCAAGAAGAACAGTTATATATTCTTCTGTATAATAATATTTTTATTTATCGATCAATATAACTGTAAACCACATCAACAGAATTTTCTTGATAATCAATATCTTCTGATATCTTTATATATTTACACATTACATTTATATCTGGTTGCGTGCAAACACTACTGTAACTAACATTGTGACTAAAAGTAAAAACTATGTTATGTGAATGTAATATTTATGTAAAAGTTTCCTCCAGGGATGTGCGAATATCGAAATTATTCACATTGTAATAGAGCATCAATAACCACATTAGATGCACACTTTTAAGATTGTTTCCTTTTGGCAAGATATAACAATAGTTAAAGAAAATGTAGTTTATGAATATAAAAATTATTATTATTTGCTATTTAAGGCTAAATTAATTTTCGTTTAAGATATAATGAGTACAAAAACAAAAATTGTTCTGCTTTTGACATTAAATAATGTGTAACAATTTTGATTCGGTATTTACAAAAATGTAATTTTTAGTAAAAATATCCCAGTGCAGTTGTATTAAGGTTTTGACTAATTTTTCTATTTTATAGATTTTGTTTTTTTGCATTTTAAGCCTGTTTGGCATAATAAATCACGAAAATTATATTCTTAATTTAACAACTCACCTAAGATAAAAATTTGCCATATTTACTTTTATTCAAATTAACTTAGTTCTGAAAAAAATTAAAGTATTACTATTATTAAGATCATGCGAAGAAAATTTGCCTTTGTTACGAAATAAAAGTAAAATCATCTTTATGCAGTTACGATTAAGTTTCGTAGAGCTTCTAGTGGTAATTTTACAACTGTTGGTCTATGGCGCATTAACTCGGATTTTCTTTTCCTGGTGTCATGAAACACTTTCCTTTTACACATAAGCACAAGCATAATAAGCTTATCTAAAAAATATATATACCATTAGTAATGTACATCTTATGTATCAGGTTTGCGAAAATATAATTGCTCGCAACGCTTCTGTACAGGCTGAAGCAAAAGCCATCTGAATTTTTATAGTATGGACAAAGAGTTATTTATAGACATATTAAAAACACAGTAATGTAAAGGCAAAACTAGTCTAAAATTTTGGATGGACTTAAAAAGGGATTTATATATCTATATAATGTTTATATATAAGGTTTTCATTCAAATCTTTCCTCATGCTAACAAAAATATTGCTTAACTACATTTAGACTTACTGACAAGACAGAAGATTTTCTTGCAGCATACCTCTTCTACGAATTCTCTTGCGAACTTTTTAATGTTTTAGTATGCACACATCTGTTAACTGCTGACACTTATTTCTTAATCCACATTAATATATTACACATTCTCGTAACGGATTATGATTTATAATTTGGTAAATATATTATCGTTAAAATATTTGAAATAATATTTTAATTGACTATTTGTACTTTGAAATAATATTTATGAGCTTCATTAACATTTCGTGAATTCTACAGCTTTATTTTTGTTTTATTGTCTTTGGTTTTACTTTTTTCTTTTATTTATTTTCCGTTTTATTTTGTTCTCGTTTTTCATATTAATTTTTCACGTTTTTTGTTGTAGTACTTAGCGTTTCACTTTTGTTCCAATTGTTTTGATATTATTTTATTGTTCTATTTGCGAATATTTCATTTTTAATTCTATGATGATAATTACCTCCATTCTGTTAGAAGAAATTTCTTAATAAATACTTTGTTAAGATAATCTAAACGTACGATGCAACGAATGTTTGCAAAAGTGATAACATAAAATTGTCTAAGTGTTTTTTGAGAAGCTAGTGTATCTAGAAAATTCGCTGGCCTCTTTTATGATAAGTAAAAATTTCCATTGTTCAGAATTTTATGAAACTTTTATAGAGTTTTTAAATTGAATTTTAAAAAGATAACTCATTTTCCCTTTTAAATTAAATTTAATTGTGTTCAATAAGTACCAGAATACAATACCAAATTTCCGGAAATTTTATTATATTATTGTTCTTTGATTACAGTTTTATGAAAAGTTATTTTGGTGTGGAACTGTTTCATCGCGATACACTTGTTATTAGAAATTCCATAAAAATTTATATTAGATAAATATTTTTTCACTATGCTTATCTAATTATTATAAATGTAATTACTTATTCTTCTTGATTAATTTTACTATAATAGTAATAAATAACCCCTCAATGCAGAAATCAAAATTTAGAAAACTCGCCTTTTTTATAATTTAATACAGGAGGTTAAAGTTAGTATTCCTTTTTTTTTTTTTTTTTGTGATGTATTAGTTAACTAGCAGGTGCAGAAGTATGTAGGAAGAAAATCTTACAAAACCATATATTACGCAGAGTACTAGCTATTATTTCCTCTCATGGATAGATAGATAGATACATACACTTGTATTTATACATTTATAGCTCTTCTCACAAATATACCTGTACACACAGTAGGTAAATGCTAGTTTTATTGCAACTTCTTGCCGTTGCATAAAATCAGCAGTTACACCATTACGAGTTTTGTGCGTAAGCAGTCATAGAAAAGTCTATAAAACATGGCAATTAACTTTTGTTTTCACTAGGGTCACCAAAGTTAAACTTAAGCTTCATAAATGTAATGATAATATTTATGTGATATGTTTTATGTGAATATGCGGAAAGCAAATATTTGTTTATTGTCATCAACGAGCAAGGTTTCGATAATTATTAATTTAAGTAGTAGTGAAGAATAAATATTTTTTCCTAAAATCACTGGTCGTTTAAGGTATTAATAGTAATATTGTAAATGATAATGCTTTTGCTTTGTTTGTATCTAAAATAATTTTCAAATCTTCCTTTCGATGTAAAAATAGAAATCTAGAAATAAATGAATTAGCGTTTTTGATAACCCTAGCAATTGTCCCCTCGGGCGCTAATTGTATAATAGATGATATGTATCATTCCTGTGCTTTATCAGACGGGTTTAAACGTAAGCTTTTTTCAAAAAATATATCAAGAATATCATCACATTTTAAAACGATATGTTATCTTTACAAACTCGATGTGTTTCGAGTATTCGCACATGCCTATGAGAATACTTCACTGTTTCAAAAGTTCAACTAACAATAAGATTGCTATTTTATTGGAAAAAAAGGATTCACAACTTATACACATGTATACTGGGGCAAGGTTTGAAAGGTTTTGTATTACGATGTGCCTTCACCTCTTTAAGGAGAGGTTCATACTTATATTATATGTGTGTATAGTTATATTTATAAACATATTTATACACACATGCACTACGTTGTGTTATGTAGCATTTTACAATACTGAGATGAGATAGTAGATGTTTTAACACATTTTTAAAATTTTATTTATTATAATTTCGTGCATTTAGAACGTTAATTAAATACTTGATATCAAGATATATTGATTAAAATTAATTCATCTGATCGAATAAATACGTAAATAGTAAACAGACTATTTAGAATTGATCAAATGATTATTTGATGATTGATTGATACATTAAAATATGCAAAAATAATGCCATCAGTTTAATCTCTAGAATGTTAAAAATAATATAAAACAGAGTAGTTTAAAAAGTTTTCATTACAGTGATTTTTGATTAAATATTATAATTAGCAAATTATTAAATTATCAGCAGTTTATATAATAATTGATTTATTATTTAGAATAGACAAAAATAATGCAAGCAATTTAATGTTTAGAATGTAAAAAAAATAATACTATAAAGAAGAATAAATTTAAAAGTTTTCATTATTTTAATTACAATAAATTTTTAGACAAGTTAATATTTTAAATATTTTATTCTTTTCTATTTATTTGTTTACAGTTTACTCCCATACATATATCGATTAATCGTAAATTGAAAATGCTACATAACAGCAGACGATAGTGAAAATAATCGTACACAAAAGAAGGAAGTTAAGATTTCATTCAATTTCGATGCAACTGTACCGTCAGTTTTTTTCTTCTTTTAATTTATTTTTTGATTTTTGTGAATTCGTGAGATAATTTAGTCCATAAATCCAGTGCTAACGAGCTTGTCGAGGAAGAATTTCACATCGGCCAATTCAGAATCTCGGATTCCCAACGATTTCAAAAGGCTCATGTCTCCTGTTTCCACCGCCATGAAAACGTTTCTTAAATGCTCCAGATCAGATCTCATCAAATGAAGCGCTTTTCCAAAGTCATCTAGAGTTTCACTCTCTGTAAAGAAAAACAGAAAATTCAGAATTAATTCATAATTTATTTTATTACAAGATACTAAAATTAAAAATATGTTTATAAGACTTTAGTTAATTCATTCAAGGTGTTTCATTGCGAGTGGAATTTTATCATCTGTTTTTAACCTACCTCTTGCTAAACCATCGAGTTCAAATTGTGTACATGTATTGTTAATCAGAGACAATGCTATGCGGTGAAGTGTTTTTTTCAAAGTTCGATTTAGATTTTTTAATTAAATGTTTAACTAATTCTTCGCCCATGCCTTCATTTAACTAACAAAGTAAGCATGTTAGAATTTCACTACATGAACCATCAAATAGAAAGAAACATTTTTCAAACTACGATTGTAACTTAATTTCTAAATTTCTGGCGAAATGTTTGAAAATTTCCCAATATTTTACACTATTTGACGCTTATGGTTTTAAAATTTAAACATATAAAAATGTAACGGATACAGAGTTTTGAAATTCCCACAGATTCTAAAACAAACTTTTCGTCCTCTTTTCAAAGAAGAATGATAAAAAAATAATAATTTAGCGATTTTCTACATTTGTTTTTGAAAAAGCATTTCTCGTGAAAAAACTGCTTTTCATTTTACCATCTTAGTGCACTTGCTAATGAAGTTTGGCGTTTTGGCGCACTTAATGACGAGTAGGCGGTATTCATGTTTTATAAACTTTTTTTTATTTATAACGTGTAATTGAGACTAAAAAACCGGAAATAAAACACAGTTTTATATACTATCTTATACCTCGAATAATAAAAGCATAAAATGTCTAAATAACAAATTTATTAATTTAATTCCATTGTAATTACCTTTTAAATTTATCATGGTCACCCACACTTTTATTATTTGCGGTATAAAATTGTAGGTGAATTCTGTCAACAGAATTATTTAATTTATTATTCCGATTATAAAGTATATTATAAATTATTTTTCTCCTTTCAGTGCATTCAAAGACACTTTAAATTAGAGCTTATTGCATAAAAACCTTTTTATTTCGTTGTACGAAGTAAAGGAAGTATTTTAATCGTGAACAATTTCGGGTGTCATATTTCAATGGATATATCCATTTAGACCGTTCTCGTATTCATTTGAACGATTTTTTGGTTTGACATTTGTACGGAAAGAACAAAGGATGCTTTTGTTTCCAAAAAGACTGTAAAATTGATTTAAAATGGATTCAAGTGGGATTTTTTTTCGCGATATTTGTAGATACGTATGTATGTATGCATCTCGCATACTCATAAACGGTTCGCCGTACAACGCTGGCATTTTGTGTATGCGACTGGTATAATCTCCATTTGTGCTCCTCCGTTTTTTCATTGCAATCGACAGTACCAAACGTACATATACACACATATATATACTATCTCCTTAACCGGCTTACAAATCTGTACCTGGTCTTTATTTTCGTAATCGTTGGTTAAAGTCATATACTTCCAGTTACAGAAAGATTTTAAATAAACAAAATATTCATGTTTTGATAACATCAAATTAAAAAAAATAAAATTAATCTTGGTCAAATTACGGAACGTAATTCAAAAGTTTATACTCATTATGAAAAAATAAAATTATAAGAAGTTTGACTTCTGTTTGATAAAAATACACCGGAATATTTAATTTCTAAATTTGTAATTTTTGATACCATTTCCCACTTGCCTGAAGGAATCGCTTAATTAAGTTAGAATGATTTGAGGAAATAAAATTTAATGAAATGCAGTAAAAATGTGCATAATTTATTAGGCCGTACATGTAATGTCCACATCAAATTTTTTTATTCTGTTTTATTATATGTCTTAGATTATTTTGCATTAAATACTAAATAATAATTGCCAAACTGAATATAAAACAGTAAAAGAATTACGGAAAGCTTACTTTTACCTTAAAAATTATCAAAAGCGAAGTTCATTAATTACATCACCGTCTTTCATGCATCAAAAACTGGCATTTGCAGGGAAGCAACTGATTGCATTAGCGCCGCGGCAAATTCAATTCTTGCCCCATAATTTTATTTTGACGGCTCTTACGAGGCGACAAATTTCTTCGTTTTCACGCTCTTCTAGATCTATTTTATTCCATTTAACATGCGGCAATATCCGTTGTTAAGAGAACTTACGACGTTGGACAGCTTTCCACTTAGCTCTAATTTTATCACCTTCCGAAGTAACGGGATGCGTACGGCGGTAATACGATTTGCAGTGCTCTCGAACTAGATCCTTTACACGCTTGGGATATTATAGTATTTGCTGTGCAGTTGCCGAGAAGAAAACTCTTTTGAAAATCTTGGATTGTTAGGAACTTGGCTTCAATACTAAGTAAAAAATCTGATGTGGACAGAACTTGACTTTGTACGGCCTATTAAACTATACACAGTTTTTGCTGTACTTCATTTAAACTTATTTCCTCGAATTATTTTAAATTAATAAGCTGATCACTCAAGGTAAGCTAAAATGGCATCAAAAATTACAAATTTTGAAGGTACATATCATGGTCAATTATTTTCGTATGGGAGTCAAACATCTTATAGTTTTATTTTTTTTTCCATAGCGAGTATATTACTTTGCCAAACAAAAGTATAGGAATCGGAAGACCACTTTAAAGGTCACATTTGTTCAAAACTTAATTTCTTTAAAAATCTGAAGTTGCAAAACATGAAAATTTTCACCCTTTCGACTACGATTGCGAAAAGAGTAAGAACGTTAAGTCAGGTAAGTGGGTGGGTGTGTATCTCTCTCTCTATAAATATATATATATATACATTAGTTACTGCCGATCGCATTAACAAAAGAGATGAATATTTTAGATGTTCAAACAGTCCCATATACAAAATTTCAATGTTCTACCGCTAATCATTTTGACTTATGCGAGGTACATACGTACAGCTGTCACGGAAAAAAAATCCCTTTTGAATCCATGTTAAATACATCTTACAACATCTTACAAACCGTTTTGGAAAAAAAACAGTCCTTTGTTCTGTCCTTATGTACGGACGTTACTAAAAAAATCGTCTATATGAAGTCACGAATCAGAATGGATATTTTTGTTGAAATATAATACCCGAAATTTTTCGTGATTACAATATTTCCCTTACTTCGTACAAAGAAGTAAATCAAATTTTAGCGTTTGCACCAGAGGATTTTTTTAAAGCTTTTTATGTTCTCTTTGAACATCACAGGTCATTATTTTGCTCTTGCACTCACTTCTGCTAATACAAATTTTGATCTTTTAGCTTTATTACTTAAAGTATCTCTTTCTTCGCAGTTCCGAGATGTAAAAATCAAGAGAAAAATCTCAAATTATTTAAAAAGTGCATATCTTTACAATTCTTGACATAGTGTTAGGTGTTGCTCATATTATTTTCTGTGCAATCTAATTTACACACCCAGACTCAATGAAACATGCCTAAACCATTACACCTGTATATCAGTGCTTAAGAGTAGTAATAGGGTTATTATACACTTGGTCTTTTGACACACAACAGTTCGTCCATTGGGCTCAAATATATTAAATTTTGACTTTCCCGCAAATAGAAGATTACTCTAATTTGATGTATTTTAGCTTAATATCGGTATTGTGAATGCGATGATTTTTTTCTTTGTTTACTTGTTGACAGAGGATTTTTTTACTTTTTGATCGGCCATTGCATCCCTGTGCTCTTAACTAAGCTTCAGAATTATCTTTTATTGTAAACCTTTCTTCTTAGACCGTTGCAAATTTTACAGCGCTAATTTTTGTATTTTGTTTGATTTTTCGAGGAATGAGGGGTCTAGACTTCAGAGCGTTTTCAACAATTACACCCGAATTCAGTAGTTTTATAAAAGCAAATACAATTGAGTGCTTCATATCAAGGATGTTTTGTATATTTCGAATACTTTTATCATCATTTAAAAAAGATGAATAATTAAATTTCTAACAGAATTCGTTAATTTGTAGTGTCTTGCTATGTTGACTTCAGATATGGAACTGTTAGTATGTATGTTTTGCTTAACAAGTAAAAATTTGAAACTGCAGAACATGACGTTTGTGACTCATTTTTGTGTATAAGAAAAAATATGACTAGAAATATTGTCTACCGGAACATCTGTACAGAATTCTGGAGTATGCAAATTATTATTACGTGAGTTATTGATTAACACGTTTTGAAAAAAAAAACTATTGTTATGTGTTATGGGTTCGTAATGGATTGAATGCACACAGAATCGATCTCAGGCTTGAGGAAATTCAATTTTCCAAAAACACTTTACAGTTCTAGAACTCTTAACACAAAAGCTCTTGTACAGCTTTTCTCAGCACAATCAGTAGTTAAAACTTCAAACTACTAAGAACGTTTAGCACAAGACAACGAAAAAAAACCTCAAATGCGAAACCTCGTGCAGTGATATTTCAATATTCTGAGTTCAACTGTGAACTCAACTCTGAACTAAACTGAAAACTGATTCTCTCTCTGGTCTTATATTGTTTTCCCCCGTCCACCGGGGAAATTTCCAATATTTTCGGTTTCTCGAAGTTGCTGGAAGGTCTTACATAGCTACAATTATACAGGGTCGGATACATTTACTGTTACAAAGACATCGGACCAGTTACATTTATACAGAAATCGGAGTCCTCAAGCTTGGTGTTTTTTGGGGATTTCTCGCAGAATCTGACGAAAAAAATTGTCGCCATATCCATCGCAACTTTGGCACTAGCCATTTATATACCTCAAATTTAAATGGACTTACCCCTGCAACTCTGTTTTTCCGGCGATGCTTCACACTCTGAAGCCGTTTTGTATTACATTATACAACAGTTACAGTTAACATATAATTTCACTAAAATTATTTACATTTATACAAAATTCATAACAATATTCTATTACAAGGAATATTTTGCTGATTTTTTTTGCAACGAACGCGGCTTAAAAAAGAGAAAACATTGCACTTAAGAAAACAATTTGAATTCTGTGTTTGAATATTTAGTAAAAGATCTACGCAAATATATTTAAAATAATATTTAACATACTATAACAGTTACATGATAGTAGCCTGACGCACTCTGATAGTTAAAGTAAGAAACTCTTTACCTGACAGAGCTACAGCTACTTTTGACACGCCTCCTAATGGAGCGAGAGCATCACGAGCTTTAGTTCCAAAAAGCTTTTCCAAGTAGTTGGGGCCATGGTTAGATAACAAAGCTTGCAAGAAGTTTGCTGTCTCTTCTACTGGTGGTCTTTTGGCTGAAAGAAAACATAAGACATACAATAATAGAAAACTACGAAACAAATATTATATTAGAAAAATCGGAGGTGAAAAATATGTGTATAGCGTGGACGCACTCAAGAAAGGTTGCCATAATACCGCAGTATTTCGAAGTAAATAAAATTAGCCTCGTTTCGCCTTTTATCGCCCTTTTGGTGGTTTTTAATTCAAGAAGTACTCGATTCTGGAATAACGCCCAATAAAACTGAGATTACTTTTTGTTAAGTACTAGAAATTTTTTCTCTGTTGAACAACCTTTTCCTCCCAAATGATTTATAGTTCAAGTTCTAAATTGTAAAGGGATTTAATAACCAAACATGATCAAATAAGTACAAATAAATCTTTCATAAATTATATTAAACTGTTTACGAAACGAATTTTTTATAAACGTTCATAAATGAGATTAATAATTCATACATTATTTTCAATGAGTATTTAATGAATGTAATTTAATTTTCAGAGTTTATCAAACTTAATAAAAAACGTATATACACTTAAAAATTTTATTACTTTTTGCTTTTTAAACCTCGTGTTCTCATTCTTGTGCAATTCATACTTTAACGAGATTCTCGCGTTCGCTTATTCGATTCATTAGAGAATCCGGAGCTTACTAGTTATTTATAACAAATAAATTTAAAATTAGGCAAAATATTTTTGGCTTTTTAAAGAAAAGCGGAATTTGTTTAAAAGTCGTAGAACTTTTCTGTGAAGCTAACGTGAGTGTAGGAGTGAATTTCCGAAACGTAGGTAATATAAAAATTAACGCATTCCCCCCTGTGCTTGAGATTCTGGTATAAGTGGTTAGTATGTGCAGCTAGCTGTAGGATGATCAGTGGTTCGAACCTCGGGGAAGACAACGTTGAATTTACGTTGTTCTTGCTTAAAAAACTTTTGCAATGTTTTGAATAAAAAAGCTGAAACTGCATTGAGAGTTTCTGTTATGCATTTTAAAAAGAGAAGAAGATGAGTTTCTCTCTCTCCCTTTAAAAAAGCTGTTCCTTTGTGCTAATAAACAAAACAAAACAAACAAAAAAGTAACTTCTAAGGGAAAAACGTCATAAAAAAACATTTATCGTAATTAAAATGTCTGTGCATAAAATTTCAGAATTTATTTATTGACAATATCTGCTTCATAAGCAATATATGTGGGTTTTTAAGCAATTTACTTCAGTATTTGCTTCTATGTGATGTAATGTAAGTAATTAAAGCAAAAGGAAGAACATAAGGATACACATTAGATAACATATTCTCTAAGTAAATGCTGTAAAAAAAAGAGAGAGACAGAAAAATGGCATTTCAGCCTGCGTAAACATATAAAAAATTCATACGAAAGCATTCTTCTAATATAGTAAATGAATTTCCCCATAGAGCAACAGATACATGTTATTAAAATGGAAGTCTTATTCTACCGAATACGAAAATGAGACGTTTGAAATCATAATTTGTTTTAGTAATTGTATTGTACACCTCATTTTCAGAAAATATTGTACATTACTAGCAAGTATACATGCATTTTGGAACAAATTATCAAAACACTCATTTAGAAGTAGCAAAGATACACTTAACAAGCTGTTATAAGCTTGATGCTTTATTTTAAAGGCTTTTTCTTAAAACAGGTACATCAGGATAATTAACGCCATGAAAGAAATTATTGTAATCCAGATGGAAATTTAACGGAAGTTATTATTAAGTTACTATTTATTAATTCACTTCCACAGCTATTTGTCTATGTGTAAAGAGTTCTTATTCTATATGCTTATGTGTAAAAAGAATTTTAATTCAAATGATTTTTGCAGAATATTAAAAAAATCGCGAGTCACGTAAATAAACGAAACAAAGTTATGCTTTGCCAGAATTGTAACATCAGAATGATATTCTAAAGTATTTCATAAAAATATTAAGAAGTAGAACGTTCAAAATAGATAGCATATATTTTTGTACTCTTAAAGGTCCAAATAAAATTGTTCATACTGTTAAAAATGAAATTGTTTGAAGAGCCTGGATTTTTATATCAAAAATAGTTATTAACTAAAATTTAATAAAGTGTTGGAAGAAATGTATTTAAGCATGAAATATAAAATGAAGGAATAAGAAACATTACTGTGCGAATCATAACATTCATCTGAAATTTTTAATTAATTTTGTTGTTCAGTTTTTTTTGCACAGCGAAATGGGGCTGCTTATCTACCGACGTATTAACATACCGGCTACAGAACCATGACCACCTAAGTTTCAAGAGCTACATGCTTCTCAAGGATATTCTGGGTGAACAAGTATGTTAGTGATCAAAGTCATGTTTCCAGCGTTCTGACTTTTATTATCTTTAGTTCAATTCATTTCTGTTCGTGATAAGTTCAAATTTCCCAGGTACTGAACATCAAAGAACTGTGCAAAATAGTGTGATTAGAAAACTAGCATTAGCCGCATGTATAAAGGTAAGTGCATAGCAGATTAAGCGCAGTTGAGAGTTAAGATTCATATGATTATTTAATCATGTCCCTCTTATGTTAGAGATCCTACCAGAAGTAGTAAACCTTTTTAAACAACATTATATTTGCAAATGAGTCAAAATTTAAGACATTTGTGTAAGATGAACGAATGTTGCGAGGTGAAAGTCAAATGAAGAATTGAATCCAACTCAGAAAACCAGTTGCCTAGTGTTAAGAATGAAATTGGAAACTCAATGGTTTGGGTATGTTTCGCTGATTCTGGGATGAGAACTTTATGTTATATAGACAATGATGTGGATTAGTATAAATATTCTTAATGAAAACACGAAAGCAACTTAAAGAAATATTGGAATTCAAAATACATTCAAGTTTGTCACACAATTTTCTGAAGTTACCCAAATTCCTCCATAATCTTTGGATTTAAATCTTTTCGAGCGCGTATGGAGTGAGCTGAAAGAAAGAGTAATGGAACACAGCATTTCTTTAAAACAACTGCTAAAACAATTCTTAAGGAGGAATGGAACAAAATGGACTATTCTTACATGAAAAAACTGGATAAATCTAACAAAAAGTGCGCATGAAAAATGTAAATTTAGCTTAACGAATTACTTGATGTCTATTTTTCTTTCTTTGTTATGAAATATAAACCCTTTTCCAAAGTGTTTGAGTATTTATGTGAGTTCACGTTCAGAATTTTTTGAATAAGCGATTTTTTCTTTTACCAAAAGCTTTTTGAATTACGTTTTTCAAAACAAGCATATTTTTAAAATAGATGATCAATAGTATACGTGAGAGAAAAATAAAATCATTTCGCTAATATATAATAACAGATAATTTCCAATAAAGCTGAAAAGCACAAGGTGTCCGAAAACTGAATATAAAAGATTTCGTCTGCGCGATTGTGGGGAGTTTTGACGTTTTCTTAATAGTCAGTAAAGAACGTTATCTTTAAAATTAAGTAAAAAAATAATCTTAGTTGGGCATAGATTTTGAACCAAAAGCTATCGATTTCGTGGAAGATCAGTTTACTTTCTTGAAAGAGTAAAACATTTCTTCAAAAACAGGATCAGCGACAAACATTTTATATAAAAAGCAATAAGCGGAGCAGAATTAACATCCGCCTCTGGAAGGAAACAATAATAAAACGTGAAAAGCTAAAATATTAGAAAACTGAAAGCGTTAGGAAGAACTGGATTAGAATTAATATCACTAAGAGAGAAAATATTTGTGAAAGCGAAATGTTTTTTAAAAAACCCAATTCATTAACCCAAGAAGGTTTGTGGATAATTTTCGCGGAACCGAAGTCAAAAATCTTATTAAGTTATTAAGTGCCTAGCTACGAATAGCTATAGAAAATTTCCTAAATTTCTCCTTTTCATATATAATATTTGTATTCCTGTATGCGAAATTCTAACGCTCTTTGATTCTGGACAATACACGCCGAATTTTACTGATAAGATATTCTATGAATTCCCCAAGAACTAAAACCGCAGATGGAATATTTAAGAATCGAAAATGGACTTTCGTGATGAGTGACTTGAAAGCTGAGTTTGGAAAGAATTCGAGCAATTTTCTAACCGATTTCTATCGGTCCTTCTGGATGGAATCCTTCTGGATGGAATGAAAGGATGTAGAGGTTGTTATGGTTATTTCTAATAGAGAAATGTCTGTTTTGATGGCAACATGAAAATTTCTTGAGGGTTTTATATTTCATTGTAAGAGAAAATGCACCTCGATTTTCTAATAACTGAGTTAAATAAAATAAAATAAAAAGATTCTGAAGCCTCGCATCTCTTCAGAAAAGATTCGAAAAGATTTTGCTTGTGGAGAAGAAGAACCTATGTCTGATTCTCTTGAAATCAATATTACTTAAAATCTTCGCCAAACTAAGGTTGCTGTTTTGCCTAATTTTTAATTTTACATTAACTTTTTTTTCAGTTTGAAGATGTAGTCACCAAATATGTATTCTAGATGTTTACTAGTTAGATAAGAAATAAATAGATATAATTAGCGCACTAACATTTGCAATAACAATAACATTCAGTAACCGCTTTATCGGCCACTATCCGAAAGAAAAGATATTTAGAAATCATATTATACATTTGTTTGATACCAAATCCATAGAACAAATGAATTCAGAGAACTGCTACATACAAGTTGTATATATAAAAATATTAAGTGCCACGTTTATTGGAAGCTGCCATTTACATTTGTTCTGAAGAAGTTTCATTGGAATTAAAAAATGGAATTTCTCTGTAAATATCGGTCGTAAAATTTGGTCTCGATAATACGTTGAGTTCATTTTAGTTCCTTCCTCTTCTTATTTTTAATTTCCTTTTGCAAGAAAATTTTGCGACAATGATAAATCTCTCGTTGAAAATTTATTTGCATTCACGGAACCAGCTGTATACAGTTTTTTTCCTCTTTCTTGTCGACGATAATCTACTTTATTTGTTGCTGTCATTGAATTAAATCCATCTTTCATCAAGGATCACAATGTATTTCTAGTTATCTCCCTCTAAACAGTT